CAGTTTTGGGAGTACTGGAACATGTGTTGTCAGGCAAGATGATACTGGAGGTATAGAGAAGTGGCTTAAAGATTCAAAACTGCCATTTCTGAACATCTAAAGTTAAATCTGCTGTACTCACAAGATTTCCATGTTGTCCCAGGAGGAGGAGTCGTGTAGAGGGCCTGGGTGACATTGTAAATGCAGAATAAGACAATGGGCAGTTAGAAGTTACAGGTGCAAGAAAACTTAAATCTGCAGAGCAGAAATCACAGAATCGTTTAGGTTGGAAAAGACCTTTAAGATCATCGAGTCCAACCGTTAACCCAGCACTGCCAAGTCCACCACTAGACCACGTCCCTCAGCACCACGGCTACACAAGTTAAACACGCCCAGGGATGGCGACTCCACCGCTTCCCTGGCAGCCTGTGCCAGTGCTTGACAGCCCTTTGGGTGAAGAAATGTTTCCTAATATCCAATCTAAACCTCCCCTGGTGCATCTTGGGGCTGTTTCCTCTTGTCCTATTGCCTGTTCCTTGGGAGAACAGACCAACCCCCTTCGCTACACCCTCCTTTCAGGTTCCACACAGAGTAATTCAACTAGTACAGATTGTAATGTTTTCTGTAGCGTTAGTAGTGACATGGGTTAGATATCGGTGAAATAGATATCACTGTGGGGAAAATTTGGTAAGGAGATTTTATCAAACGAAAAATAGGGGAGCATGTGCATACAGTCATTTTTAGTCTTTTAATTGTCATTTCCGATGATGTGCGTGCAAGCATACAACTAGAGTAAGTTACTCAAAGAGATACCAAACCTCAATTTGACTGTTTTTCTTTTTGAACTCAGTACCAGATTTTGTTGCGTGGATGTTGGTACGAAGTATTTGGAGGAGATCCAGATAACTTCCCAACGGAGCTGGATGGTAGAAACCAAGATGCCCTCACCCAGCCACTCCTGGCTGAGGAGAGTTTAATGGTTCAGCACTCACCCTCATACAATGCCCTTGAGGATGAATCACACTTAAATTCACCACCTCAGTATCCTCATCTGTATCTTCCTGGAAAGATTATCCATATTGTAGAAGAATCCAGCTCTAGGAGGTAAGTAGAGTAATGAACACCACTGTCTTGTTTTCTTAAAATCTACTTAAAAGCTGCTTCTCACTTTCAAAGTACATGTTTCCAGCTCTGCTTCTCATCTCATCTCATCTCATCTCCAATGCCCGTCTTTGGTTATTACGTGTTAGCCAGCTTTTCAGGTTTTATTCTGTGCCTCCTTGCTTTGTTCTGTTTCACTTAAAGTCCTGGAAACTGTTTCTCTTTCTGCCTGCGTGCCTTATTCTGCCCACGAATACCTGTGCTCAAGGGATGATTGTAAACAGTAAGACTGGTAAGTTCAGCTTAGGCGTGCTGCAGTTCCTACCCAAGACTGCACATCTGGCAGACTTATGTCCTGGTAGTGGTGAAGTGATAACAAAATACCTAGTTAGTGAGTAGTCACATCAATATTGGTGATGAGAAAGAGGCAAAATATTGCCCATAATAGCAGCCCAGCTAGACTGGATACCAGTGGCCCTAGTGAGCAGTGTGCCCATGCAGCCTCTAGTTGTCCTTCGCTGCTTTTCTGTGGATGCAGGAAAGTGAGACAAAGACAACAGAAAAGCCGAAACTGCTGGAAGGGTGAGGACTGTGGTTTTGTTGGGTCAATGTTGTGTTTATGGTGGGGTTTTTTTGTTTGTGTTTTGTTGATGGTGGGTTTCTTTTGAGAAAACAACCTGAAACAGCCCCAGGCTAGACAGTACTTGATATCCTCGTTTCATTATGAAGCAGAAATAAGAGCATCTGTAACTTGCACGAGTCATCTCACAGAAGAAAATAAAATCTGTAACTTACAGAAGAGGGAAGAAAAGGACTGGAGAAGAAATCCACTTCTTTTCCTCCCATTTAGTAGATTAACTATGTGAAGTTTAAATAAAATAATAATGTTTAACAATTTCAATACTGGTTTTACAAGTTAGATACTTTAACACCTGTCACCTGCTGGGTTTTCTCAATGGCTGCTATCGCGTTCGTTTCTCTGCCTTCATTTACTCCACAGCACAGCAGCTAATCACGTTTGTTTTTTTTAATTGAACTGGCACACAAGATCCCCCACCATGTACTGTTATGTAAAATAAAATCCTAAATACACCATATGTGCCACATTAAATCTAGTATCTGGTCTCCTACTGCTACCACTGTGACTTATTGCCTGCATTTGACACTAACCATGTGGCTGTGCAGTGCTCAACCCCTCATCCCCCTTTGCTCAGACTGTACTCCATGTTTCTTTGAGCAGGATTATTTGATAGCTTCTTTCACTGTTAAGGCACAGTGTAATTTGGAGTAGCTTTGCCTTCAGGGACAGTGAAAGGCAACCTTTCCTGAAGGTCAGCACTGTAGCCCTTTGGGAGCCCACCTTTCCACTGTGAGATGGTTCCACGTCCTCCCTGAGCAAGGTCAGACAGTTCCAGGTTGTCTGTTCCTGCCTTGGCATTGAGCAGCAGTTGTACAGGCTGAGCCCTTGCATTTGAGGTGTGTTGGTGTTTTGTTTTGTGTTTTTTTTTTTGTTTTTTTTTTTTTAGGTTGTGCTCTTCAGATATCAAATATACAGCAAGATGGTCACACGAAACAGTGTTCAGCAGCATTTTAATAAGTCCCAAGATGATAACAGACCACATGCCAGATGTTGTGCTCAAAGCTCTGAACAGTTTGTCTCAGGAACATGGATCATGTATTTCTTGTCAAATGCAAGAACGTAACACCAATGTAGTATAACCGTAGCTGGACGATGAGGTGTGGGCGTTTCTATTGCAGGTTTCAAGTATTCAGGACACATTCCACGTTCATACCTAAGTGGATTTCAGTACTTTTCTCACATTGCATAAAATAAACAAGGGTCTTAATGCCCTTGCCTCTGCAGAGACCTCAAGTAACATTATGCTGGTTAAAGCACAGCATCTGCATTTATGCTGAAGGTTGGAGCTTTTTAAAAAAAAAAAAAAATGGAACAGTATGACAAGTTCTAGCTAAGCCTGTGGATGCTGGCACATGAGCCAAGGCGTCAACGGAATACTTGACCAAAGTGAGTGGGTGAGGACAGCTCGGTTAGAGCAGAGCCCTGTCAGACCTTAAAAAAAATAATAAATCCAGTTCTGCTTCAGTCACGTCATGCCATTGTCTTGGCACCCTGTGACCGAGCATTTCAGAACAGAGTGCTGTGGAAGCAATCCCGTGGTGTGAGAGGCTGCGGCAGCTCAGCAGCTGGCAGTGGGTCAAGTGAGGCAGCCTGCGGTGGAGGGGAGGCGCGGGGAGGCTGCCCAGGCCCCTATTTAATTGGGCAGCGCTGGTTGATTGCACTATTTTTCTTACAGATTGTGGTAGCGTTGGGGTGGGGGGGTGTTGTGGTTAAATGCTGCTTGGGTACACATGTGCAATACTCTTTAATCTACCTGTCTTTTGTATTTGTTGATCCACATGACTACTGTTACAGATTTTAAACTAAACTAATACTCTACTTAATGAGAAGAAAAACAAAATAAAATTGTTCATGCCCTGGCATCATCTCAGTCACCAGCTCCAGCTCTGATTACCAAGACTGCTGATCTAATTCTGCCAAAAATGTATAACCAGTTATACTGAGTTAAAAAAAAGTGGAGTTCCTGTTTCTAGTGTGCAACTATTTTAACTTTTTTTTTAAGGCTCAGCAGCATTTCTTATTAAAATATAGAAAAAAGTAGAAGTACTAACTGTGTGGATGTTCTTGCTGTGATACTTAGTATGGAGACAAAATAAAATGCAGTGTAAAAACCTCTATGTTCAGGTATGGTGGTGTGAGACAAACATTTAGAGCTGTTCAAGGCGCTGGATGCTGTGCAGCGACACCCCTGCCCTGGGCCCTGTTCCCCCTGCACGGGTGGCAGCAGTGCTGCTCTCGGGGTCCTGCTGTGTCCCCCAGCGCCTGCCCAGGAGAGGGGCAGCAGCAGCCTGGGCTTCACCTCCCCTGGAGACAGGACCCATGTATGGCATGGCTGCGCTTTTAAAAGGCAAAAGTTAGGCATTGAAGCACAACCTGCTGCTCCAGAGCCACCAATTTACAAACTGTTAAAAAAAACAGTTTTAGAGGCCTCCAACTATAACGCAAACATTGCCAAGCACCGCATTTAATTCTGGTTCTTAATGTCAGAGCCCCATTGAAAGAGCCCGGGATCAGCGTACAGAGGGGCCACAGACACCCCACTGCTGTTGGCAGCAGCAGAATACTTACTTGGTGGAGCGAGAATGAGAACACTTGCTCAGAAACTCCAACACTACCATACGTGTGATTCAAGGATTTATTAAGTCATACATGCAAAACATACTGCTAATTGCATTAGCAAAAGATCAATGTAAAAACTTCACAATTTTGCAACTTTTATTTTTCAATTTTGCTTTAGTGGTTGAAAGGGTGTAGTTCAACATTGTATTCCTGCCAGTTTAGGATGTACAGAACATTAGCACTAATTTACAGAACCTCACAGACCCAAGTTAGCATTACTCACTCTATGCTGCACACGTACATGTAGTGACATAAAGAACACTTGTCTGCATTAGTAATGTTACAGTGGTGGGGATACCTGGCAAATAGTGATAGTTGAGAAGATTCATAGAGGTTTCAAATATAAAAATTACTAAAATGTGTAAAGCTGCTTCACATGATTTTTACACCTAGTTAATAGACTAAAAGCTCCTCAGAAAGCATATAACTTACTGGGTTAGAAATAACAGGAAAATAAGGAGGATATGCTTGAACATTCTACTCTACAAAAAAAAAAAAAGCAAATTTCTATCATCAGAATGGTTTTAAAATACAACTTATATTGCTCAGTAAGAAGAGATTCTACAAGAAAAGCGTTTACTACACAACAGTTGTGGGAATGACTGGTTCGGAATTGTACCTAAATGAATGCCCTACTCAAAATTCAAAGGAATTTACCTCTGAACGCCAACCTGTCTTCCACTTCTGCACCTCTGGGGAAATGGTCCCTGGTTTTAACCTGCACTGAAAGCCCAAAATTCAGTTTCAACTACCCTGGCAGTGTAGTGTAAGTCATCTGTACAGTGTCAAAATACTGTCTGGCACTATCATTTGATGCAACCCAATATTTCTTTTGTCCATCACAATACAATGCTGTCAAAAGGACTAGATACACTTCAGTAAGAATAGTTATTTATTTATTTTTTAAATCACAGCAGCAAGAACTAGATTGCAACCAAGCCCTTACCAACGATAAAGCATTTTACACTGTGACTCGAGGGTGTCAGTCATTGTCAAAGATTTAGGTTTGATATACAAGGCTATGCAATGACTGGGTTGAAAAATCATTTAATAATAGAACATATTAGAGTGCAGTGTTTTGCTAATTATACGGTACTGTTACTTACTGTGAAAAACTAGAAAGTGTTTTTGCATTTCCTACCAGAAACGAGAGTCATCTTCAAGAAGAATCTTTAAAAAAGTTTAGTGCTTAGTGTTCGTAGCACAATGATGCAACTTAGTTCAGCAGATAGTTTGGCAACACTTAATTGAGCAAGAATAGGATTTTAAAAATAAGGCTTTACATAGGTTTGTCTTTTCAGGAGTTTGCTTTTAGAAGAATGTAAAGTAACTTTCATACGTTAAACAAATGAAACTGAAATTGTTGATCGGTTCAAGAATTTATGGAAGAGATCTAATTTATAACAGAAAAACTTGGCATTGAGTGTGAATGCTCCATTGTTCTGAGCAAAGCACAGGGTTTGGAGTGGGGTGGGGGAAGGTAACGTTTACAGGAGCAGACATTTTCTCTTCCTCTTCTTTACAGGAGGGGGGCACAGAACTGCTCGGATGGCTTCATCAAACACTGTCTTGAGGCCCCGCTGCGTGAGTGCTGAGCATTCTAGGTATTTCACTGCACCTGTGGAAAGAAAAAGGCAGTTACAAAGCCGTTTTCCACAATTATGGCAGCACTGCTTCTAGCTAACTCCACAACAAAAGCCAGGCGTTTATTTTAATTAAGGTACAACATCTTCCACAAATAAAATCTAGATCAAGTCAACAATAACCCCGCTGCTGTCATACCAATCTCTTTTGCCATGGCAAGGCCCTGTGGGTAGGTGATAGGAGTCAGCTTCTTCTCCTTCAGTTTTTCAATAGTGTCCTTATCATCCCGGAGATCAAGTTTGGTTCCCACTAAGATGATGGGGGTGTTGGGGCAATGGTGCCGCACCTCAGGATACCACTGTGTAGGAAACAGCGTAGGTTGGGGGCGGGTGGGAATTAGAAAAGAGCATACAACTGCAACACATTTTTAATGAAGCCAACAGGTATTTCCATATAGTTTAAACATTTGCCCTACTAAGGGCTGTATTTTCTCCACACACCAGAGAAGCCCTGATCTGCACTCCCCTCACCCACGGAGAGACCACCTCTCATTTGTGAAGTCTCCACCACGCCATACAGCTGAGCTGTCCAAGGATGTGAAAGACTCCAACAGCAGCAAAGCATGTGCCGGAACACTGGCTGTTGCAAGGAACTCACTTTTACATGCATTTGGTTTTTAAATATTTTTCTTTAAATGGCATTAAAAGGAAAGTTCCTGTTTGTGATCTTAGCTGCACACTCTTAAACTACTGTTATCCTATCAATGCATCAAGGAACAATTTATACATAGAGTGTTTCACATGCCCTTAACTTCCATGACTTTTAAGTTCAGCAAATGGATTTCTGCCTTTTCAAACTACGTTTCACATTGCCTGCCAAAAAGAAACTTTAAAAAAAGTTACCTAATATTTTCCAGCCACCGCTGTAATGTGAACAGTATGCTGAACACTTAGAAATAAGAGCTTGTTCTTACCTTCGCACGGACATTTTCAAAGGAAGCAGGACTCACAAGGGAAAAGCAGATTAAGAAGACATCCTACAAAGCAAGTTGACAGAAGTTAGCCCAGCAGAGCAGCCATTGTAAAATCTCATGAAACGGCCAGTATCACCAGTGCCTGTATCACACTGTCACCTATACCACGCTTGCAAAAGGCAAGGTCAACGACAGCACTGCACATGACAAACAGAGGTAGCTTTCCCCATGGGAAATCCATCCCCAGGCAGCTACAAGCAGGCACAAAGAGGGGGGGAACCAACAACACGTGGATTGTAGTCAAGTTCATGATCAGCTATTGCAGTAGCCAGCAACTAAGAACATAACACCATTGCAGTGCAAGCTTTTCTTCCCTAAGCGTAGTTTCTTCTCCCTCACCGACATTCAGATAAAAACCAACCAAAACTACTCCAGATCCTCAACAAACCGAGGAAGCAATGAAGACTCGGACTGGCTTCTGAACTGGGGCTGGATGCTCTCTGCAGACCTCTAAGTGGTTTAAGCCTTCAACAAGACATAACTCGGCACAGGATGTTGCAAAGTGTTAACTGTTGGCACCAATTTTTTAAATGTGAATATACTATTAATATACTACTCTAAAGTAGTCTTAAATTGCAAAGGCAAAGTATACGGTATGGAATTTAAAAAAAAAAAAACACAAAAACCACAGTAATTTCTACAATTACTACTTCCATGCCCAAATCAGAAGAATCTTGTAGAACTGTCACTTCTACTGCCTATCAGTATAAAACGGTTTCAGAATTTCCCTATAACCAAATTAAGATTGAGAAGAGCATCAAAACCCTCAAAGCTCCCTCCTTCCCTTTCCAAGAAACAAGAAAGCAGAGAGAAAAGTGTGTGTTTTTCAGGATCTTACACATCTCGCTTTTCAGTTGAGGGCAAAAGGAAGACTGTAAGTAAGAGCAGGTAAAAACACTTTAGAGCACATGTTCACATAAACGCTGCACAGTACACACTTCAAAAAACAACAGGCTTCATACATGACACACCGTAGTCTACAAGCATTCCCAATAAGCACAACATTTTCTCTAAGCTGATGAAGATTGTAATCTTGCTGTATAACCCAAAACTCAATCAGCATCTCTCAAACAAGCCCAACTTTCCGCAACCTACCTCTGCATCCATACCTATTCAGCTATCAAATGTGTTAAAGAATCAGGCATTTCAGAATGTTAGTTGATTGTGCTGCATTTCAAGGCATTTTGTTAGGTCAGCGTCTGACATCTGCACTGCTAAGCACTTGCAACCCAGTTGTTCATGCATCACCCCAACAAGTTTCCGCAGCAGCGTCCCAGAAGAAAAAAGAAACAACATCAAATAATGTGATACTATGGCCACTACTTCTGTTTTCCAATTCTGCAGGTTTGTGGTGACTGAAGTTCTGCACGTTACGCAGACTCTCTCCTTTACTAGCTCCAGAGATCGCAAAATTCAGTGTAGCCATGAGGAATTATTTGAAGGTCTCGGGTGTCTTGCACGCTACCAATCTTAATAAGGAGGAGGAAAATCTATTTATTTGCAAGAAAAGGTTTACTCTTAACAACTCATATAAAGAGATTTGGTAACAGAGTTCTCAGATCTAGCAATTTGATAGTTCCAAGAAAAGTTGTTTAAAAAATAGGGGCCAATTTATCACTCTCGTAAGCAAGACAAGATGACAGAACTTGGAACTGAAGTTTATTTAAAGATTTACATACGGCAATAGGTTGATCTGTCAGACTGGAAGATATATTCTTACCATTGGTTCCTCCAACCTAGTAACAGTAGGAGATAAAGTTACACCTCAAATGGATTTAAGGGAAAACATTCTCAGTCAGTGATTTGTGCTCACAGATGGTCACGGCATGGCTTTTCTTCTTGAGAGAAACACTGCCCTGTAATTCAGCACAACCAACTACCTGCGTCCAGAACAGACCACCAGACAGCCCCTCTGTCAGCCCCGTCAGAGGAAACTTGCAAGAGCAAACCTCTCATGAAAAGCATCCTTCTAACCTTATTTTCTTTTTGGTTTGGTCTCCTGAGGAAACAAAGTTAGCCACCTTTTCTGTTCCAAGTTCTTCCTTCCCCAAATATTTTGAAATACTGGTAGATTTCAAATACGTTCAGGAGAAGGTACTAAATTCCTGTGTACTTTAAGGAATAAAATAAGAATATGAGTAAGGGAAAAAGATACGCTATGGCAAAGCCCTTACTGCGAAGTTAATCACTGTTGGCCTAATCGAGACACACACGCTGGCCAAGCCCTCAGCCAGACCTGCTTTCAGCATGCCCTGCGCGCAGAGGGAAACAGAGGGCCACAAGGACAGGAGGGGTGAGCTTTAAACTGCAGAGTGGAGGAAGGGGGAGGCTGAATGCGGATCCTAAAAAAAGTCAGGTTTCATCAGCTCCGCTGTTCTCTTCCTCTGTGCTTTTTGTTACTTTCATGGGGTTTTTGTCCCGTGAATCTTACGTATTGCGCAAGTCTAAAATCTGAAGACTGCTTCATAAGTTGTTCAAGACTTACCACTCTGTTTCATTTTATGCTGTAAAAAATGCAAGTAACTGAAAGTACTTCAAACCTTTACCTAACAGTTATACATGCTTGTATAGAAGGGATTTTCTTCCCAAAAGTACACTTAGATTGACATGGAATTTGCTGTGTTGAAAGCCAACCTTTGACATGCCATCTCTACATTTACGGATCTTTTTCTTCTCCTCTATGTGTGCGAGGCCCCACGGATGAGTACATCAGAGCATTCAAGGGTGGTGAGGCACTGGAAGAGGTTGCCCAGAGAGGTTGTTGAGGCCCCATCCCTGGAGGTGTTCAAGGCCAGGCTGGACATGGCCTTGGGCAACCTGGGCTGGTGGGAGGTGTCCCTGCCCATGGCAGGGGGGGTGGAACTCAATGATCTTCAAGGTCCTTTCCAACCTAAACCATTCTATGATTCTATGAATTCGTTTGCAGTCTATCAGAAAGCCAGTTATTTTAGCAGGCTGAAGACATGCATGTGCATTCTGTCCCTTTGTCATAGGGGAGGAACAATATTCTCCCTTACAACACTGCTTTCTCACACGACTGAGCAATCTTTCAACATACATTTTTCTTATCCTGAGGTACTTTTTCAAAAATATTTTTACAATGTTAAGCAAAGCTTAAGTTCTAAGTATCCTGTAAATATCTAAGTATTGAAGAAAAACAGCTTTCTATTGTCTCTCTTCCTAGTAAAGCAGATATTTCTGGCATTTCTAGTAGAGTTGCCTACAACTGGCAAGTCCACATTCATCTTGGGTATTGTAACTGAAGGGAAAGCATAATTGTAAGAGTTAGCGAGCAGTGAATTAAGGAAAATTGTGAATTAAGACAGTTTACTAAAAAAAGCACCAGAGTTCATTAAATAAGATTCCCGTTATTCAAGAGAGCAGTTATGCTGTAGAACTACTGGAGCAATTTTGCATTTTACATTATTAGCATTGAATCTACATTTGACAGTTAACAACAACAGTAATCAATGCAAAAAAAAAACCCCCAAAACCTGCAAATTACCACCTTTCTCTACTTACAGCACAGCTCCATCAGATAAAAGTAACTGCTCTAAAGAGACTAGAAGAACAGCCTCTACAAAGATTAACTGTAGCCGAAGTCGCACTGGAAAAAGCAGAGCAGATTACTGCAGCATTTTCCTGACAGGAGGAAAGATGCAGCATGCAGACAGGACTTGGCCAGTTGTGAGCACGGAAGACAGAAGCACATTTCTATTGATCTTATAGCACAAACTACAGCAAGTAATAAAATAGCCACAGGCTTAAGTACATTTGAAAGCTCCGAGGCAGCCTCTGTCAATACCAGTAATATCTTCATTCAGCACTGCCTCTTTCACATTTAGAACATCTTCACAGAGACTAAACAATATCAAGTGCTCAGCAGTGACAGTGTCAGGTTGCAGCCAAACCTCAGCCTGAAACCAAAAACAAACCCTGCTTTTGGCAGGCGCTAACCTTGTTATCAATGGACTATCTGATGGGACTATTCGCCCAGGGGGTTTGAGTTTGCTTTGGGGATTTTTTTTTTTCTTGTTTTAAATCAAGCATTCTAGCTGATTCTGAGGCTGCAACTACACAAAAGCCAAGAAGTATCAGTGCATGCAAATACAAGCATGCAAATTTTAACATTTGTGCAACTGCACACACATCAAAGACTGTAATATTACAGCCGCAGTACATCGGATGTAGCCTGCAACAGGTCACTGTTACTAAGAAATACAACTCCAGATGTGACAATGTTGGCCTTACGTTCAAAAACAAAAAAAACTTTGTTAGACAAAGTTGTAAAGATTCTTTCTAGTTTCACATTGTAGTTCTTACTGTTTGCGGATAGGAGAGTGGACGTAGTCTGTCATAGTCCTCTTGGCCAGCTGTATCCCACAAACCCAGATTGACCGGTTTTCCATCAACCATTACATTAGCAGAGTAGTTGTCAAAACTAAAAAAATAAAGAAAGAGTTAGCTGCATTAGCTTGCAGTAGAATAGGGCACCCAAGGACTTCTTCCCTACAGAGTCCTAATTGGAAACACTACAAAAAGGAACGTTTTTATTGCATCCTTCTGCTGCCCAGAAACACTAAAGTTGTCCTGAGCCTGGTATTGGGTAATGTAAAGAAAAATACGCACAACAGACTTGGTTCAGACTGAACAGAAGTTGTCTTTTTCATTGCTCTCCCAAAGGAAGTGTTAATCCCAGTAAGTACAGGAAAGCGGGTGATGCACTTGGCAAGCACTTCCCAGTCTTAGTGGGACATTCAGCAAGTTAATCTGGCTCATTTTGTAAGATTTAGAATAGCAGATACACGAGCAACAACCAAGGAATCCTTAATGATGACAGCAGGTAAGAAAAAAATCATTAATCCTCCTAATCAAAAACCCCTTCAATGAAATATCAAACCAGGGGCATAATTTATCTCATCACTACTGTCAGTGCAAAGGTTTTAATGACTTGTTAAGGCTCGGTTCACAGTGAACGCAAGCATACTGTGATGCAAAAATCTGAATTTATGACCAAAAAAAGGAAAAGGGCAACAAGGCCTTGGAAGGGTAACTAAATTAATCTGTAGATCTCATTAGAACGTATTTTGTTATCTGAAAAACTCATCGATACTTATAGAGAGCAAGACAGCCAGATAAACATAGACATCCAAAAAGGGCAAAGCAGCTGCTCGAGTATAAAATGCCTCCCCACAACAGGCCCTCAAAAAGAGAACTACACTAATACTGATACTGACAAATCCCTACA